ATTGCTATGGGTTGCAAGTAACACAATGGCACATAACAATAAGTGCTTTAGTGGCTTGGTGGTAAAGGGTTATGCTGTAAACCCAAAGGCAGGTTGTTCTGTGGGAGAAAGATGGGCAATTTTCTCTTGTGCAACACAGCCTCTGAAAATCCACCAGAGAGTCAGTTATGAGTTGGTTCTGACTCAACAGCATGTAACAACAACAATTATTAATGGATGTTTGCCATTATCTTTACTATAGCTATGTCATTAAGGTAAAATTTACTTTGAGCTTTTTGTTGGGTACCATCAAGTCAGAGTCAACTTATAGTTAACCTTCCAGTGGGTTTCCAGAGGCTATAAATAGCTTGGAAGGGGATTGCCCATATTAGTCTTGTGGATTGGCTGGTGGATTTGAACCATATACCTTTGGGTTAGCAGTGCAGCTTTTTAATTGATGCCATTGAGTTATGGTGTTGGAGAAGAGTAGTGAATATCCTGTGGACTGCCAAAAAAGTAAACAGATATGTCTTGGAGTTAGTGAAACCAAAGTGTTCGTTAGCAGTAAGGATAGTGAGGCTTTGTCTAACATACTTTGTGCATGCTGTAAGGAAGTACCATTCCTTGAAAAGGAACATTATACTTGGAAATGTGGAGGGTCAGTGAAGGAGAGGAAAAGCCTCAACAAGATAGATTGACATAGTGTTTCAATGGGCTTAAGTATGTCAGAGGTGATGAGGATAGCACGGGATAGGACACTGAGTATGTAGACTATGTATTGATTCTGAGAATTCTTGTTCAGATCCGTTATTCATAGGATCACTATGACTCATGCTCAACTTGATAGCACCTAATAACTATTACTACTCTGAGGCGACAGCTTTTCTCCACTTGTGTTTTGAGTGCCTTCTAACCTGAGAGTCTCATCTTCCAGCTTTATAGTAGATGATACATAACTACCAATCAGAGAGTTTTGGGGCTCATTACTTCAGAGCTAAATGGCCAGTCTTGCTTCCTACCTAATCTGTCTTAGTCTGAAGGTTTTTGAAACTTGTCCACCACGCGTGACCCTGCTAGTAGTTGCAGTACTGAAGATATAGTTTCCAGCATCACAGTCACATGTTAGTCACCACAGTGACTACAAGAATTTGATCAAATAACATATATGACAGGATCTAATCATGGGGTGGATATATATTGATATTCAATAAATGATAATTTTATTCTTTCCTTTACCCACATTATTAAATATATTTTATGTATTTTCATTTTTTAGGGCTTTAAGATTGTATTAAAAGTTATTATTATTTATACCATCATTCACTTTTATACAATTATTCATGTACATTATTTCATTAATGTACATTTGGTTTTATACAATCATTTCTGTACATTGTCTTTTGAGTGGGATTTTTTCAATTCTGATTTATTTACAAAGTTTGAATACATTGTTTTCCACAAAAGATCTTTCCCATTTCCTTCACTCCAGTCACTCACTAAACTGTGAGCCCTATGATTAATATCCTACCCCCCACTCACCCCTCTATTTCCACACTCCTCCCTGCCCTGGATCCTCATACTCATTCTACAATAATTTTTTTAAAAAAATTATTATTA